GAAAGAGTGGACTGCATCTTTGCAAGTCCTCAAACAACACGTCCATCGGTTTGTAAACAGATGTCGAGTCCACTGAAAGACTGAGCTGGGTTCTCTCACGCATTCTGGGAACACTGCAGCGCCACGTATTTATGTTTTTGCAAGATAAATACCATTGGCGGCTCCATTTTTACGTTATTATTTACTTCAAAGGAGACTGGAAGCACTGACAGAACGTCCAAACCTACCTAAAAACGGAGCAAGGGATACTGTCCCCCAGCATATTTCCCCACCAAATACAGAGGAATCTACCCTTAGAATACGAGCTGTGTGTGGCAGGAGGGGAAAAGTAGACATGGTGTCCCAATCTGTCGACGAGGACAAAAGGTTCTGAATAGGTCACCATCTCAATTTTGGATAAATCTGCTATTAAAGAATTCTCAACTGTTAAAATGGTGGTCTTTTCAGCTACCCATCCTAAGAAGTCAAGAACAAGCATGCAGGTAAATCCACAGGCACAGAGGATCCAGGTAAAAACAGTTAAGGTAGCTGTGATGCAACACCAACAGTTTGAATGGCCCTGACACACTCAAGTAGTATCTTAATTATTCAACAAAATCCTGAAGCAAACTCTTGCTAGTCTTGGTACACTGCTAAACACTAAAGTAGCAAGTTTTTTCATGGTTTTAGCTTAGCTCAAAGAATTTTTACACTATTAAGTAAGAAAAAAATTAAAGTATTTCCCCTTTTTAAATTTACACAGACGTTTAATTAGCTTTATTTACAGAGCAGGGAATTGTTTTCAGTCTCCAATGGTGCCTAGATAACATCGTTAGGCAAGAATGCCAGTTTAAAGAAATCTATGCCGAATCCTAAAAATAACAGATGTTGGTGCTCCTCAAGAAGGGGCAAGCTTGACTAGACCAGCGACTCTTTCCTTGGCCTCTCAGTTACTCAGAAGCAATTCTGTCGCAGTCTCTACATCCCAAGATTTTGAAGACAAGGCCACTATTACTGCATTCTGTAAAGAAAACGGGACAGAAAATCACATTTTAAGGAAACACTTTGAAAACTATGGAATCACTCACTGTCTACATTGAGAAATCAATACCTTGTGCCTTCTCTCTACGTCTGCCTAGCGCTTGCAGTGCAAAAAAGCTTCTAAAAGCAATCAGTTGGAATCAGCAAAAAGAAAAATAACTGACTTTAATAACAGAACATTTGTTCATGAAAACTAGATTTTCTACTATTTTCTAAACGTAAACGACTTTTGTCAGCCAAGGATTTATAGCAATAATTTAAAAAAAATTCAATTTATTAAAATAACACGTAAAGAAAGCAAATCTTTTATGACTTTCAACACACAGTCCACCACATTTCTATACTTACCCTATCAAAGCCCATAGCACATAGGTTTTCTATTTTTTTGGTGTATTCTGGACTAGAAACTGGTGCTCCAGCATACACATGTGCCCAAAGTCGCGCTGTCTGTTTGAACATTTCGGGATTTTGTTTGTACTATACAGAGGGAGGAAAAAAAGATTGACATGACAAATAGTCAGGTGATATGGTAACTCGAGCTCTTTCTTGCTTAGGAACCTACTTTGTCTAAATAAATAAAACTAATTTACGTTCTTTCTTCCTACAGCATACAAGCTCTGTTACTCAAGAAAAGACTGTTTAATGTCAAGCATAAAAGTTGTGCTGACAAAAGAAAAACAAAGACATGAGCACGTCAATCTCCAAATGTAGTGAATATAATCAGGAAGAAGCTGAAACTAAGTGAAGTGAGGTATTCAAACACGGTGTAGCAGCAAACTTAAACTAGGTGGATTTAGCTAATAAACGTGAACAACTTTCGTATTAACCACAGCTCCGGCTAGAAGGCAGCTGATTTTGCCAATCTGCAAGAGGTGTATGAGTGCAGAGTGAAACCTCACATGCAAAATCCTCTTACAACACACACATTTTGAGGTAATTATAAAACCACAGCAATTCTTTTAAAAAGTAATAAGGCTTCCCATATGCATCAGAAAATAGTAACTTTATTATTATATACTGTGGGACCTCCATTAGCAAAGCAAGGTATACATTTTCTGTAATAGTTCAGTTCAAACAATCATTCTTTTTATCTTTAATATTAATATTGCATTCATTTTACATATTTTAAAACTGATAAGCTTCTATTACACAATAAATCTGGTTTTTGCAATTGATACAAAAAAAGAACTAAGCCAAATTACTGAATAGCTAAGAAAACAAAATTTTAAAAAAAGAAAATATTTGAGTATAACTTCACCTGTGAGGCAGAGCCCTAAATAAGAAATCAAAGCTGGAACTTAAACACACTTATGACTACTAAATATGAATAAATAGAGTATATATGAAATGATATCATTTCAAGCAGTCTGAGATCAATGATTAACTATATCAACAAAGACATGTACATAGAAAAGGAGGGAATGGAAGAAAAAAGTTACCAAAAAAACCTACTGAATAATACATAAATTAAAATCTTAAAAGGAAGGACCAGCAGTTAGAGTAATGCCTATGTCGCTGAACTACCATGTAGTTGACCACGGTTTAAGTCCTGGACCCGGTGGCTTAAAACTCACGCCAGGCACATGTGCATGTGCGTGCATGCCCAAGGTCCCGAGAGGAGAATGGAGGAGAAGGGATTGCAGTGTGGCCATCTCCCCTGGGGGGTGATTTCTCACTTTCTGTCTCTCTGGCCAGCACCCACGCCCTATAGCAAAAACCTCTCAAAAACAATCAATCAATCAAGTCTTGGCCCTGGCAGCTAGAAAATTGTGCTGTGCGTGCATGCCCAAAATCCTGAAAAGAGAATGGAGAAGGGACTGTGGCACGGACATCCCCTCCAGGGGTGAATTCTCACTTTCCAGCTCTCTGGAAGTGCATACTTTATGGCGGAAAAAAAAAGAAAAAAAAAAAGTTGCTAAGAGGAAGTTTTCTGAGGCAAAGGAAACATGGCAAATTGGATGAAATGATACATGAAAATAGACGCATGAAAGTAACTAACTTTGAAAATGCAGACATTTCAAGAACAATAAGAACAGTAAGAAGGGGACCAGCAGGTGGTGTGGTGGCTAAGGCGCTGGACACTCTCACGTGCCTGACCACAGTTTGAGACCCAGGCCTGGTGGATTTCTTCCTTTCTTTCTTTCTCTCACTCTCTCTGGTCAAATTAAAATAAGTGAATGAATAAATTAAAAGAACAGTAAGAAGACAGGAGGTGGAGCTAAATTTGCAGACAGTTCAAATCATGGAGAACGTGCAAACTAGAGAGTGTGAACTCAAATAGGTGGTAGTGGGTCTACTGACACATTTTTTAGCTGTAAGCTAAAGTACGGTTTGCGCTTTATCAAGCTAATTGCTATCAATGTTGAGAATGAAGGAAGGATAAGGTTGAGAAAGAGATCAGCAGTGGCAACAAGAAAAAAGAAAAGATGTACATAGGCACCCAGAGGAGGTGAGCCGAGTGTCAGAGATACTGGGATGGAACCAATGGGAGAAAGGAGAAAGGAAAACTAAACTTAAAGGCTTTGACTTGGACCTTTATTTATTTGGAGAGATTTTTCCTATAAGGTGCGTGTGCTCGCCAGAAAGTGAAAAATCACCCTCTCGGGGAATGGCCACACCACAATTCTGTCCCCTCAGTTCTCCTCTTGGGTTTTTGAGCATGCACACATACACACCCAGCCTTAGTGTCAAAGTTGCCTGGGTCCAGGACTCAAACCGTGGTTGACCACGTGGGAGTCCAGCACCAACCATTACCTGGTGGCCCTGTGACTTTGATATTTAAACTGGTGATGGAAACGGAATACTGGACAAGTCTGCAAGGCAGGATTCTGCATTCAGCTTCGCGATGTGCTGAGGCATCCAGAGCATTCATACAGGGCTGATCTGACACAGGCTCTTGTGTTCAGAGCACAGATCGGGCCTCAGCATTTGGCGGTGTACAGGCGCAGCATCAATGCAGACATGATCACCTGAGCCAAGTGTGCACAGTGAGAAGCAAGGGACCACATTGAAAGGGGAGGGGGCAGAAGAGAAATAAATGTAGGAGCTGAGAAGGAACAACTATGAAGACAGGAGGAGAACAACAGTATTTCAGAAGTGAAGAAAAATGTCCAGTTTAAATAAAGAATGCTGGACTAGCAGGTGGTGTGGTGGTTAAGGCGCTGGACATTAATTCCCACATGGCTGACCGCACTTCGAGTCCCAGACTAGCTTTCTCACTTTCCTTCTGTGTGTGTCTTTCTCTAGTCAAATTGAAATAAAATCATGAATAAATAAATAATTCCTTAAAAATAAATAAAGAAGAATGATGAATTGATCCTAATGGTTTGGGGTAGGGGCTGCCCAACTCCTCCTTGAAGAGCCAGGTACTAATAATTTGAGGCTCTCAGACCACACTCTCTCCAACTTTGCCACGGTAGCAGAAAGGCGACGTCAAGATGTGGCTGTGGCTGTGTTCCAATCAACTGGCACTTAAGAAAAATCAACCAGTCTGCTTTTCATTGCTCATCTCAGAGTGATTAAAAATTGGAAATGAAAACCATTCCACTCAGCAAATTACAAGGTCACTGGTAACTCCAGTACCATAGTAGGAGGAGATCGGGATGACAGCCAGGGTGGGGGTCACGGTCAGCAGGAGGGACACACATAAAGTGCGTGCAGTAAATGTTAACCAGAGGACCGAGGTGGCAGGTATCTAAGTGTTCGCTGAGCGATTCTTTAGACTTTGAGCACCTGAACATTTTCATCTGTTAAAAACAGCACCTACCATAGACCTTATGACACCTCGAACTTAACAATTGATAAATTAAGTTTTCACTATTACATCTAACAGAATAACCTTGCCACAGAAAAGGCAGTATTTTCAAATTCCACGCCTACACGTCACCATCATAAACTAGCAGCGACCGCACACAGGTGCGAGGAGTGCTTCCCGCACGTAGGCATCGTACCTGATTTGCCACTACCGCGTCCTGTGGGTCGTCTGGCTCTGCAGCTGCCAATAGCGCTTGCAATGACAGTAACCCCGTGCGGAGAGTCATCGCTGCTGCCCTGAAATCCAAATGGAAAATGTCCCAGTTAAGCGAGCTCCGCGTGGCAACAACAAAATGAATGTTCTCTGAACCAGAGGGTAGAGTTCAGAATTTTGTCCAATCATACAGTTGTTAAATTCATCTGTAACTGTATGTCTGCCTATTACATTTCTTCCTTCTTGGCTTTGTCTATTTCTTCCTATTTTCTTTGTACTTTTGCTATAGGGTGTGTATACTTGCTGGTAAGAGATGGGGGTGGAAGGAGAGTAAGAAAGCAACCCCCACAAGGGTGGCCACACCTCAATACCTTCTTCTCCATTCTTGGAATTTGGGGCACGTGCACACACACACACACACACACACACACACACACACACACACACACACACCCCGAGTGTCTCTCAAGCAGAGAGG